CTTCCTTTACAGGAGACTGGTAGGTGTTGTCTCTGCCTACTGACAGAAAAGGAGAAGCTAATCCCAAAGGATAAGGATCTTCGAAAACCCTCTATGAGTCTTGGAATACATAAAAATTTGAAAAATAAACAAAAATAAACAAAGCTTTCCAAAAAAGACAAGGAGCTCCAATGCATGCAGGTTCTTTTTTGTAAGTGATGTCAACACTCTGAATGCTGATCTGAAATAGGGCATATACCTCTAAGTTTGTAGCTAAGCTTGTCAGTATCAACCTGTGATCCTTCAATAGCTAGACAGAATTAAGAGTTCATTGCAGCAGTCCTCAAGGCATAATTATCTGATCTTTCTTCTCATCTGTCTCTTGTATTGAAAAAGCATATAAAACTTTTAAAAAGCCAAAATAACCTTGCTCTATATGTTTACTATAGTTAATTTGTACCCTGCTCTTCAGGCAGCTGCCTCCCAAAGCAATTAACACAAAGTGAAACAGAAAAACAATAACTACAAAAATCAATCATATAAATTGGTTGAAGCCCCATCTGTGAGGGTGTTCAAGGATAGGCTAGACATGCACATGGTAGGCATGTCATGAGTGGAGCCAGCTGGAGGTTGGGGTCAGACTAGATGGCCCAGGAGACTCCTTCTGACTCACTCTGTTTCTGTTTCTAAATTGTATCATGAATCTGAAGCTGCAATATTATTTAAAAACACAACACCATTGGTTATTCAAGGACTACACCATAACCCATGGTGTCACAAAACTTGCCATAATCAGGTATTCAATATTTGAAATGGTCTTAAATTTCATTCCTCTGGGTGGGTTTACTCTATACAGGACTAATATTGTTACTCTACCCTGGACTGAATTAACTTAATAACGGAACAATGAAGGGACTTTTACACTGTACTTTTAACAGCCTAATGGCACAATAGCTCATAAATGTACTCCTCCTGCTGTTGCCATGACTTGTCTCACAGCTGCATTCATAGTACAATAAATGCAATCTAAACAGACAATTTAAAACAGGAGTAGGCAACTGTGGGAGCTCTGGGACCATTTTTACTTCCACAAAGGACTCGCCCATCTCTTTTCAGGCCATGGTGCAGTCAAGCAGAAAACCACTCCATAGTCCTAAAAGGACTGTGTAAAAGGGTTAAATTTAAATTGTTGCTTAACTTTCCACTTCAGTAGTGATCTGTGAGATTTAGGATACAATTTTATGCATGCTTTCCTTGGGGTAAACCTCAAGAAACACAGCAGATGACCAACTGATGCATAGTGCTTAGCTTTGGCTAGAACATGCAGACAGGAAATATCTGATACTTATCTTGCCAGCCAGAAAATCTATTACTATTATCACTGCTGTTTAGAATTATATTGTACATATATCAGAGGATGGATAATTGGAAATGAGAACACAACTTCCACTTCCACTAACATTACAATTTTTTAAAACTTTTTTTTTCTTTTTACCCTATTAATGTGTTGCACTCCTTGGAGCCTGTGTGCTCTCCTCCCATACAGACAGGACATACATTTAGGTATTAAAAAGAGATGTAAACAGATGTAATTTATCCTGCAACCTCAGACAGGACATATATTTAGGTATTAAAAAGAGATGTAAACAGATGTAATTTATCCTGCAACCTCAAATTTATTTCTTCCCCTCCCATGCTAGGATGGGATCATGTGCTACTGTCATTGGCAAAAGGATATATAAGCTGTTGTGCAGATGTCTGGAGAATACTTTGTTCATGCATCCTAGCCCTTTTAGATGCCTAATACAGTTAAGTCAAGTGCACTGCTCCGGGACACAAATCTCTCAAGCACTATTACTCTGAGATCTCCATTCATTTCAGTGGGGCATATGCCAAGATGGACTCACTGAGGTATTCAGCATTCATTTGCCCCATTTTAGCTGTCCATACGATATGATTTAAGGGCTTTAAAAGTGTTTACTTTATAATGATCCATTTACATTTTTTAAAAGTGAAAATGTTTGTACCTGGTTTAGTGATTAGTAACAATTATTTTCCATTTTATAAAATATACAGAGTTTGCTATCCAATCATACTTGATGGAACATGAAAACTTGCTGCCACGTATACATGTGCTGACCACGTTCAAGTTTAAAAGAGGGCAGTTACAGATTTACAGAGCTGCTGATTGCCAGCTTTATTAGCTGCCATTATGCTTACAGACTGGCAAAGGCATTCAGATCAGTAGTAAATCATCTTGTAGGTCAGCAGGAAGCTCATTATGGGCAGACAGTCCAAGTGACAGAAGCACTTTCTAAGAGGGCTAGAGTAGTAATTTCCTGTGTGAAAGGCTTGCTGCTGTTTCTGCATTCCTTAGGGTACAGCACTCAGAGAATGCTGCTTTTCCACAGGAAGAGGAAGGAACCAGTTGCTAGTTGATGTGTGGGCTGATGACTGTGAGGCATTTTATACATTCTTCAGAATCAGCTGTGAGAAAGATGGTCACAGCTTAGATTCTCAGAATTGTCTAGAAAGGGGAGGCAGGGATGGAAACATGCTGAGGAATTGCTGATGGAAACATGAAGTCACTGTTCACAAGAAAAGTACCAGGTAAAGTATCAGAGAAACAATACCTAGAACCTCTACATCTAATGCAATGGCACAAAGGGATGCCTCTTTCACACAAAGCATCTCACAAAGACTGTTCATGAACAGAGTGCCATGCATTATTGCTTCATTTCAAAATATATTTTCTAGATCTTAGAGTACTACAGATGTGTTGGATTGCATGGCTGGCTGAGGGCATCCTGTGAATTCAAGTTCAACACATCTGGAAAGCAACAAATGGTGGAAGGTTGTTAAGCGATGTTAGGACAAGCTTTCACTACTGTCAATGTTGAACAGTTGTTTTTCCAGACTGATACATTCTGTCAAGAAAATACTGTATAGTTGAAATATCCCCACTCTGGCCCCCAAATCAGGAATCTAGCCCAGGAAAGTAGAGCAGATCCTACTTATGATTTATTTAATTTCTAAACCACCCAACAGCTGATATTCTCTGGGCAGTTCACAAAGTACAATTACTTATACTTAATTGTACCATGACAGGAACTAATGAATCTTGCTCTAGGTTTTTTGTTTTTTTTTTTGGGCAATACTTTGATGGGTCATGAATGCAAATTAATTTTAAAAAACTCAGAAGAGTTGCTTTTTGTTTAACTATCTAAAGTAGTCAGTATCAGTGAGGATAAATACTAGGTAATGGGCATATAAGCTTCTGTATTTTTGGCATAGAAAGACAACAGAAATGGGTCTACCTGTTCAACATGTTATTGTTTACTGTTTTTCCTGTTGACAATTGATTTCTAGAGCCTATTTTGATATTCATAATACATGTTCAGCAGAACACTACAAAGCAAGAAGCAAATAGGACAATGGTAGTGCAAAAACCTAAAAAAGATGCTCAAATACATCATAAGGCTTATTAAAACACTTTAAGAGCAACAATCCTAACTAAATTGCATTTATATGTGAATTATTTCACTTTAAAGAGAAAACTTAGTAAGAACTCCGAAAATAGTATATCACTGTTTTTACATAACTCAGACACACACATATCACAAGACAAAGTACTGTTTAGAAAAAAGAGCCTAATTCACTGGTATCCTCAAATATGTAACCAGTAGCTGCAGTAAGGACAGATTAGTTAAGATGACACTTCCTTCATATTTGCCATGCTCCAAAGCAACTGCCAGCCTACTGAATCCCAGGCAGAAAGTACTGTGTGGCAGGCGACACTGCTGTTTATCCTGTATGATGTGCAGGAATGCCTATCATAGCACTCATGATTTGGCAAGGACAAAAGTCCCTTCTTAGAATTCTTTTCAGGGTATATATCAATATAGCCCAAGGTACCTTTATGATAAGGGAAGTCTGAATACAGGAGATTTGTACATTTTATTCAGGAAGTAAGCATTAAATATGCTCCAACATGAGGGGCTGAAGTATTTCCATGTTACCCAGAAAGTCGGAAGTTGGGACCCATGCAACCAAGGGCTCCTCAGTCTGAAAATTGGACACATCGGGCTTTTGGCAGCAGCACGGGAGCCACTTTGGCTTCATCTCATGCTGCTTTGGTCATGTGCAGCACTATGGGTTCCACCTAGTAAAAACTGGTACAATTTGCCTTAGTGGTACACTTCCACATAGTGGCAGACTTTGATACAATGTTTCTGCTCAGATGTACAATAACCCACTCTCAGGAGTGGAATATGGGTTGAGTGTGGTTTGTTCCTGACATGTGGGCTATTGTCTGAACCCAGCTGCAATTAACAACCCTTGAACAACCCACAGTCATTAAACAAAAACTGTGATTCTCCTTATGTGTTGGTCATAGTTAATAAGCTATAAAATCTGAACATGGGATATTTTACAACCAAAGATTACTGAGAAGCAAGACCAGTATTGAAACAGTAGAGGATAAAAACAAAATCCCAACAAAAAGATAGGTAAAGTCTTTTTGGCACTGCTTAACTGTTACAAGAAAATGCTGGCTGAAGCTAAAAGGGAATGAGGAACCTCTCTCAGACCAAGAACCAAATTCAATTTCAGAGACCCTCTCAAGGACGTCAGTAAAATGATGGGCAGAGCCAAAGGTGGAGAGGCTAAAAGCACAAATAATACCAGCATTTTTTTAGCTGAAAGCTCATACTGCCAGTCATTAAGCCTTGAAAGAAGCATGGCAACATTTTAGAATGGAAAAAACTGAACAAAAGCAGAGAAACCACTAGCAGAGATCAGGAGAGGGAAGGACCATGAGAAGTAGGTATGGTCATCTGGGGAGCTCTGGAAGGCTGCTAGGGGTACGAGAACTGGCTTGTGGACCAGAGTTTTCTTCCCTTCAGATAAGTAAGCTAGCCAGCAAAATCCTATCTTACAGAAAGTATTTCTCTAGATAAAACAGGTATTACTAACAATGCTTGGCTTATATACAGTGTGCCACTTTACCTTGAAAAACTTACCAAAGATAGTGGAGAAACAGAAGACGAAGCACTAATATCTACAATTGGTGGGTCAAATGTTTGCATATCTGTTACATCATAGCTAGGATTTATCTGTTGAAAAGCAGATTTGAAGATACTATTAAGCATGGGCATAGGGCTGAATAATCAAAGAGTACACATGGTACGATGTTATTGTTATTAATAGAAGTGTTGTAAACAGCTACTTGGTAGTAAAGAAATAAAATAAATAGAATATTACTCTTTGCAAACGATTAAATACAAAAATATTTGCTAGTCACTTATAGCACTTAACACACACCTTTATTTTGATACCTTGTTTATATTTGAATTATACCAAGATAACTGGGCATAAACTAAGGGTTATCATACATCTTATGAGTCACATTCTTAAACTAACCTCTGCTTTAAAAATGCTTAAAACCTTATCTAGAAATGCAAAATGCTAACAGATTCTTGCTATGGCAATATAACATCCAGAATATGCTTGCTGAATAATATTGATGAACTTTTAGAGATACTTTACATACAAGCAGATCACACTTAGGAAGAGCCCAGAATTATGAATGCAAAGGAAAGTGGGACTGGTGAGGACAAATAAAGCCCAATGAAAAGAAGCAGGAGACTCTATGCTGAATCTAGAGCAGAAACAATTCTTGATGAAGTGTATCTAAATAATTGATTCAATAAATGCTTAGGCTTCCTTCTAGACCAAAATTGCTGAAAGCATTAAAAAAAATCTAACGAAGAATGTTAAAACAAAATAAAACTCACAGAAAATAGCTAGAAAGCAAACAGCGGATCAGCCATCATGTTACGGCATTAAAATAGTCTTCAGCCCCATGGCAAATCTTTTTGAAAGTTTAATTTGGATTGAGACAGATGCTGAATGGGATCTGCTGTAGCAGCTGCCAAACAGGGTGAATGTGCTCCACTTCCCCTATCTGTCAGGAGAGGGGCTGTAGCATTTGTATCAAGTGAGGCTCTTAACCATCATGCCCTTCCCGGTCAAAAGTATTCAACTCTTTTTCACCTGACAGTATTCAAAATGATTACTCAAAATTGCAGTGTTTGTCAACTTTTTCAGGTAATCCCTTGATTTAGGCTGCCAAATTATACTAGACGGAAACAATAGTATGTGGTATTTCACCTACCATATTTAAAATTAAACTCAGTCTGAAAAAGCCTACTTCATACTGGGCTGTTTTCTACTGTATGATCGGCTGTTATGTTTTAGTGCCACCTATTGTGCAGTTAGAAGTCTATTCACTTAAGAAAAATGAGTATTCATTGAAAATGCCTATGAACAGCAGATACAGCTACAATATAGATTTGAATATACAAGTAAAATTGTGCCATGGTCTGCCTGGTTGTACACTATTGACCGTCGGTGAGCAGTATACAATGCCTGTGGACAATCCCACCAACTCCATTACACAAATGACACCAACTACTTGTGACAGTGAGTTGTAGCACTTCCAGGGTAAGCTCCATAACTGGACCAAATGTATTTAAATGTTCCCATATTTCAATACCTTTGTATACACAGGGTTCCACAAAGAGAGATTATTCTCTCTCACTTGCTCTGTGTGTGTGTCTGTGTGTGTGTGCACGCGTGTATATGCGCACACATCAGAGACAGAGAACAAACTGCACACTAATCCCAGGAAAAGATTTCTTATGACTTTGTTAGGAGGAATGTCTGAAAGAACTGTGGGTGAGCAGGTATATAAACTGCTCACAGATAGAGATCTTCATGTAACTAATCAAGAAGCATTATTTGTAGAGGCTGTAAAAAGGAATACAGCATTTCCAAAAACTACTGTGCACATGGTGAGCTGATTTGAGTGCCTAGTTCAACCTTTGACTGTCTTTTTGTTGTTGTGACAAAAATTTAAGAGCCTATGGTTATATGCAACAAAACCAAGAAGCTACCAAGCGAGTACTGATGTTCCTTCTTGGAACGAGGTAGATTGACAAAGGCCCCCTGCTCCAGCCACAAGCATTTCTGTCTGTTCTGGTTTCCTCCCCAAAGCACTAGATTTTCATTCTGGCATACAGAGTGAGCTGCTTGCACAATGCAATTGGGGGTTATCCACATGCAGAACAAAAAGCATTGGACTCTTGGTCAGGTATCTTCCCAAATTCCCCTGATCTTCCCTAGGATAGTGACAAGTGCCAGAAATGTGCTATATCCAACTGAGGATACATTAAACAAAGGAACATAGTATCCAGCTATCCATAAGGGGCTAGAATTGTTTGCAAAAATGTCCCAACTATGAGATGATCTTACTCATCTTTGTATTTTGAAATGCCTAATCTGCATGTGTGCTTCACTTCGGTCTATGTTTGTGATTATATTATATTATGTGTTCGGTTCTGTTTCTCTTTTATAAAACTGATTCATATTTTGACAGAAGTGTCTCCTTATGGGGAAAAAACAGTATTTACAATGGGTTAACACTGTAAAGCCTAAAGGGGACATGTGCATCATTATCTATAAAGAATGCACAGGAGTCAGAAAGTTGATCATAATACTCAAGGGTGTGTTCATTTCACCAGTGTGCATTTTAATATCCATTCTCTTGCCATACCTTCATAGTGTGCACTGAAAGATCTGTGCATGCACCAAACACATCCTCCATGTAAAATGTGTGAAAGACTGTCTGCTGTTTTAGTAGTAGCATATTTAAAAAGCCATTATATGATAGTATGCTAAGAAGAGCAAATACAAGGAGAAGCAAAATAAATTGGTAATACTGTAATAATTATAAAAGATACCATGTTTTTATTCATGGCTGTACTCAAACTCAGTAATCATGACAACTGCTTTTCACACCATGTAAATATTCTTCTCTTGTATGTGCACTTATTTTTTTCTGTTCCTCTCTATCTATATCTATGCCCAATATTATATAGTTGGTAAGGGCTGAATAGTTCTAGATGACTTATGGATCATGAGGATGGAGGAACAAGTGACTGTGCAGAAACTGCTTTACTGACTACACATCCCAGTGGGCTATAGATTCACTGACGACAGAAGCTGTGAACTGTATTAGTCATCCTGAATTTCCTTAATGTATCATTCTACTACTTCTTTACATATTATATTTATATTCCTCCTCTTTCTTTTTTAAAGATTTTAAAGTGGCTTACAGCATTCTCCTCCTGCTCCTCTCAAGTTTATCCCCACAACAGAAAGCCTGTGAAGTAGGTTGGGCTAAGAGTCTATGACTAGTTCAGAGTCACTCAGTTGGCTCCATGGGTAAGCGGGGACCAAAGGCCAGATTCCCTGAGTCTCAGTCCCATGCTCCTAACCACTACACCACACTGGTTCTCTTAACTACTACACCACACTTGTGATCAAACAAGCATCTCTTGTTCAACAAGATTAAGGGAAGATGTACCACACAAAATGTTTTATATAGTGCCAGCTTATCATTTTTATTTTTCAGTGCCTTAAAAACATCCTGAACTGCAGAAGGAACAGCCTACATTCTAATACTCATTCTCTAACTTTTTGACCATACACAGATAAAACAAATATAAAAAGAAAGTATTAGGACCTTGGAGCAAGTTCAACTCATATTTATTTTCATATTTATTTTTTAAAAAAACAAAGCCTGAGGAGAGAGAAAGCTCCAAGCAGCCCAATAAGAACTGAGGAGGTGGTGATGTTGACTATTAAGAAAACAATAGAGTAGTAGTAGCCTGGAAAAGGCATGACTATCCATCTAGTGCCTTGGACAGACACAATCCTTACTGCAATATTTTGTTGTAAACCCCAATTGTAGACAATTATTTGTTAATTCATCAATGGTTAAGCAGCAGCAGCAGCCATAATAGTTTACCTCAACAGACTGCGATTTTCCATCATGACGATGTGGCGATCGAGGGTAAATATCAAGAAGGTGAGGAGGTTCATCGCTCTGCAGTTTTTGCATATGATTCTTAATAACTTTTTTGTATTCAAATTCATCAAAATTAGTCTTCCACAGCAGCACCTGTAAGAAATCATGATTCATTATTTGCTTATGTTTAATCTACATTTTAAAAATCATAGTCCCTTTACTTAACAATGCATGGATCATATGGAGGCTTCATATTGTGACCTGCATGCACCAGACATACCCACACAGACATGCAAAACAGGTTCAATTTATAATATTAAGACAGTATTTCAGAAACTATTAACAAAGAGAGCCATATTTGTTTAAGAATTTAAAATGTTTAAACAAACCTGTCCATCTGCACCTCCAGAGGCAAATGCTTCCCCACCTTTTGAAAAGGCTATGGAGAGAACTGGTCCCTAGTGTACAAAGAGAAAAGAATAATAATTTTAAAAGCCCTTTTCCTATGTGCACTTTCCCTCCTCCTCCCACTTTGTGATCCCTGTTTCTTGCCTCTTTCCTAATCATTACAAGAGATAAATTCAAAGCAATAGGTATATATGGGCTCATATTGGCAGGTTCAAACAATGTGATAACTCATCCTGTGAATAAGTTACACAGTGTGGATTGCTGATGGAACAATTCATGTATGCCTGACACACAAAGAGTTTATTGTGGGTCCTTCCTATCCTTCCTCGGTACTCACTAGTCCTCCAACCAGCAGAGCAGAGCCCATCCTGTCTCTCCTTCCCTGCTCCAATTGCAACTTCATTGGCAGTCAGCTTCCCCGCACCCTACTTCTGGAGCCCACCATTGACAGTTGCTCCACAAATGCCAAAGTGACACTGTCACTGGCTCATTAATCGTTTTTGGGAGGTTGGGAGGCAGAAAGGTGCTCAACTGAGATCATAATGTGTGTCTCAGCCACACCTATCTTGTATAAGCTGCACATTGATAGGGGCCCAAAATGTGGATTCCTGCTTGGCCAATGTCCTGGTAAGTATCTGCTATCAAAATTTAGAAGGTAAACATCCATGAACAGTGACAAAGAGAGACTGTATACAAGTTACTCTGTGCACATTTGACAGCTGTTAATTGAAAAGCAAAGTGGCAAAGAGAGTTTTGCCTTGAAACGGGGTAATGAGTGTATTTCAGTTGGATATTCTAGTTTTTCAGTATTACCTGACAGCTGTTGGTCCCCTCCACTTTTCCTTACTTCCCTAAACCTCCATATACACCAGAAGACACAAACCTACCTGCTACCTTGCCCCACTTTCTACATACAATTTTACACGCATGTGCTCCAAGAAGAAATGTCAGCTTTATTATAAAAGCTTTTTCTTTGTTACTGTGCTGTTTATAGAGTTAATACAGTAGACCACTCATAAAAGACAACATTAAAACCAACTAGAAGTTTCCACGTAGTCACTTGTCCCTTTTAAGCTGAAATATAAATTATGTGTTGTTCTCCACTGTGAAGTTTTGCAGAGTTTCATTCTATCCCCATTTCTGGTTCTAAGCAGAAATAGAATTGAGCATGTAAGTGGAAGACACTGTCAAGAACAAGCAAATGAGGATTTATGCAGCCAAGTCCCCTGGGATATCTAATGGCAGTGGGCTGGAGGACTGACAGAGACTGAAGAGAAATAAGCCATGGTAAGCCACTGAGCAGAGATTGGTTGTTAGGAATAAGAAACAAACCACTAACCCATTATAGCAGTGGGAGAGAACCTATGGCACACGTACCACAGTGGGCACACAGAGCCCTCTCTGTCGGCACACAAGCCAAGTCGCCCCAGCATCGCCCCAGCAGCCAAGCATCAGATAACAGCATACATAGGGGCCATGCACATGCTTGGAAAGGAGTAGTGGTGCCAGGTGATGATGTCACAAGCCATGACTCAGTAGCCGTGACTCGTCCAAGCTTTCGCATAGCCGGTCAGTGCACTGCCAAGGATATATTTGCATGGACTGGCTGTGAGGTGTTTTTTCTAACTAAAACTCCAGTTTTCAGGTTTTATTATAGTGTTGGAACTTTGTGATAAATGTGTTTTGGGTTGCAGTCTGGGCACTTCGTCTCTAAATGGTTCATCATCACTGCACTATAGCTTCTTCCCAGGGTGGTTTAATGTGACAGTATTATTACATTTCCATACTGCTCATAGCCGAAGCTTTACATGCGCTCACCCAACATATGAAATAAAACAGGAACTTTCATTAATGCCACAAATGCATAAACTGGGTGCTTCATGTATGCAGCACTTGCTCACAGCACAATTAAATAGTTATGGCACACGTTGTTACAGTAGCTTTCCATTCAAACAAGCAAGCAAACATACATTTGCCTACACATTTTTGATCTGAGTGCTGGTAAATAATCTGTGGAACAGCCCTTAAAAGCAAAACCCAAGGATAGAAGAGATAGTAACAAGTTACCTCATGTCCATGAAGTGTATACAAGAGCCTTCCTCCTAAAAGATCCATAATCTTAAGGGTGCCATCACTAGATGCCGTGATGAGATAGTTACCAGAAGGATGGAAAGATGTGCAGTTAACGCCAGCTCTGTGAACTGATTTACATAAAAACAATTCAGATATTGATGCAAAAACAAGGAGACAGCAAAAGCTTAATTAGCTAACAACACATTCCTGAGCAGACTGTTTTGTTGTTTTCAATGGGATTTGACATAAGCATGGAAGGATTGCAGTTTAAGGCTGATTTCTTTCTTAAATACAGCTTATTGTTTAATTGGTTGTTTTTAACTAAAGCAATTTAGTGAAATGGAAGCCTTCTAGTATATAAACATTTTGACCCATTGTCACTAAACTACCACCATAGCTCCCTTTCAATGGTCTCTCGTTTTGCATTGCACTGTGCTTAAAAGAATAGCACCCTTCTTGCAGATATATACACTATTTCTTTTCCTCTGCATCATATTCAAACACTTTCCCCCGTTTTCTCTAATACCACACTTTTTCAAATCCTAAAAACCTGCTTAATGAACAACACCTTTTGTATCCACTACACAACACCTTAAATAATAGGCTGTTTACAAGAGCAGAGCAGGCCTGTCAAAGACAGGATATTTTGGAGGCCATTCACTGGGTCACCATAAGTTGGAGAAGACATGATGGCATGTGACAAGAACAAAATATGCCAGAAAGTCAAGCAGCTTCTGCTTTGCAAAGTGACAAGAGGTACTGGAAGTCTGGAAGGTATCGCTAAAATCTGCTGAGTAACGGTCAGGAATCCTGTGCTCTAGTACATGCATTGCCCTCCTGACTTCCACAAGATTAAGTACATATGAATGAATAGAGAATTGCACACAAGTTACCTGCTGCACTGGCTGACTCTATGGAATGAAAATTCCAGCCAACTAATATTTTAAATTGATAAAATGAGAGGGTTAGGTGACATCGCATAAGATGGGAGGTATACATCCTGAACTCTGTGATTTACCCCAGCGTCCAATCAGTATCCAACAGCTATTAAGCCATCCATGGCTTCAAGATGCAAGATACCTAGGGACAGGCTTGGAACCCACATATATTATCTAAAGCCCCAAAGAAGATACAGAGCTATTTTTCCCCAGGTACACAATATGACCTCTAATGAGGAGATACGATACTTTGGGGTACTTCGGATCTTACCACTGAACTCCTGAGGACTATATGGAAGGACTGACAGAATTTACTGATCACTTGTCTCCAATTAAGAAAAGTCTACAGGAAACAGCAAAGCATCAGAAGAGTGGAGAAAACTATCAATGAAGTCAAAAAAGAGCGCAACATTTGCCAAAACAATAAAACCTAGAAGGTCAAGCTAATTTCTAAGGGAAAAAGGAATAATTTACTAAAATTGATTTTTTGGGGAAATTATGGCTGTACAATGGATGCTTCTCGAGGGTTACTAAATCATGTGGAAGGATCTGACACTGAGGGGTTGCCTCAAGAATGACTGACAGTACTTGTAGAGTGTCATGAAGTAGACAAGCCCTTTTGGACAACAGAATGGGCAACAGGTAAGTGACAGCGTTGTTCAATTTAGCATTACCAAGATGAAGGCCCTTTATTAGGCAGGTCTCATGAGTTGAAACACCAGGATCAAAATATTCAAGGTTGTTTTACCATCTGCAAGAAAATATCCTGTACTGCAGCAGTAAATGGAAAGTGATGCATAACACTACATTGTTTGCATTCCATCTTTACCCTGCCTTTGTTCTTCTTGCAAGGAGCTATTCCTCTCCCTTTTATCCTCACAATAATCATTCTCTGAGGTAGGTTAAAGCCATGACTGACCCAAAGTCATGCACTGAGCTTCACAGCTGAGCTGGTACTAGAAGGTAGATCTCCAGAGTCCCGATTCAACACTCTAACATCAATATACCACACTGGTCTCTACCATTTTAAGTGAAAGACAAGTTAAATATTCTTTGAGAAGAGTTCTCTTCTCACCTGCAGATGGTACATAATGACACCGATTATATAACTCAATGAAGGAGAGCTTACAGAATCTGAAATGACTGGATCTTCTGACAGTGAAAGATTACCCTGATGGCTCAGTCTTTGGAAAATGAGAATGAAGTGGCTGAAAACGAGATCCTAGTAACTGCCGAATGCAAAAATAGAGCATTGAAACAATGCAAGTCTTATCAGACTGGTTATATTCTGTAGGCTGTGCTCAAACCATCTTCCTTACTAGGGAAAGTATGTGTGGCTAGAATACACTTTTTTGCTGCCACCTTGTGGCTCAAAAAAAACAACACTACCCAAGTTTTATTGAGATGGAGCATAATCATCTTCAATATTCTAATTATCTTCATAACCAAAGTTTCAACATACACTGTCAAAAAGAAGCAGTTTACTAAATGATTAATAACAATATTCAGACTAGGCAGTACTGCAAACTGTGACAGGAATGTATAATGGTTCTAGTTACTGGTTTTACAAAGTCATGCTAGTACTTGGTTATTGCAGTGGCA